TAAAAAAAAAAAAAAAAATAGCCTGAGATTAGCAGTCAGAAACCCAAGTACAAGGTCAGCTTCTGCCTTTTCCCAATTATGTGTCCTGACAAGCAGTTTAATCTCTCTGGTCTTTGATTTTTAAAACAAAATTTTTATTTTTTATTTTTAAAATTAGTTTCAGGAGTACAACACAGTGCAATAGTTATACTTTTTACGCCTCAAAGTGACAACCCACTTCCCCCAATCCACTGCCCCACTCTCCCCCACCCCCCGATTTTTTTTTTTAATTTATAAAAGGGGAGTTATTGTATTTGTTCCACTTAACTGACAGGATTACTGGGTCTCTGAGTCCCCGCCTCGACTGTAAAACGAGTAGTCTAAGATAACCTTTGTGGAAAGCATCTCTTGGCTGTGACACTAGAAATCCACGACTTCTCTTATTCCTCACCTCATAACAGGCACTTGTAATTCCCTGTGTAAGAATAGGAGGAAGCAGTCCTATATTCTTAACCACATTTTAAGGTATAAGATATTTAATCACTTGACCTTTTCAGTCCCTAAACCTTCCATACCGACAATAACTACCATTTACTGAGCACTTGTTACATAACAGGTGATTTTGATACATTATCTCACTTATAAGGTAGGTATCATCCACATTTTACAGGTGAAGAAATTGAGGTTCAGAGAGGGTTAAGTAATTGGCCTAAGGTAAATAAACTATATTGTTTGAGCCTGAATTGAAGCTTATGTCTGATGTAAATACTGGGGGTGCCAAAAAAATTTATACAAGTGGACACTTTGGTTAATGTTGCTCAAGCAGTAGTTCGCCATAATCAGAAGTGTCTGGACGCTGATGGTAACCACTTTGAGCACCTCTTGTAACTGCAGAAGTCAAACGTGACTTGTATTCACCTTTTGTTATTGGTATATATTGAGTATTACAATTTTAATACAGTTTTCCTTTCTTAAAATGTGTGTACATTTTCCCCTGTATATTTGAATAAATGAACAACCACCCATCAATTCCAAAATACAGACATCCCAAGACATCAGCTTCTATTTCTCTCCTCTCATGCTGCAGCCTCTAAATCCTATTCCTTTCCTGCCCAGGTTTCCCTGTCTCTTTCCAGTCCCAGAATCAACTCTGCCATTTCCTCACCATGTGTGTCTTCACATGCACTGCCCAGCATGGGGCCATCAACCAGGGCCAGGTATGGACAGCTGAAAGCCCAGGTCCCTGAAGGCAAGTGTATGAACTTTGGGATGCCCAAGGGAAAGGCAGGGGTTCAAACCCTAAGTACAAGGATCCTAGGGTTGTACTTTCTTCCCCCAGCTGGACTGGTATGCCTGGGTCCCTAATGCCCCATGCACAATGCGGATGCCCCCACCCACCACCAAGGAAGACGTGACAATGGCCACAGTGATGGGCTCACTACCTGATGTCCAACAGGCCTGTCTTCAAATGACCATCACATGGCATCTGGGTCGACGCCAGCCAGATATGGTAAAGGAGGACTCTGGGGAAAGGGAAATGACAGCTGGAAGGCAAACATCAGAGTGAGGCGTTAGGCTCTAGGTCAGCGGTTCTCAACCTGTGGGTCGCGACCCCTTTGGGGGGTCAAACGACCCTTTCACAGGGGTCACCCAAGACCATCAGAAAACAAAGTTATTTACATTATGATTCATAACAGTAGCAAAATTACAGTTATAGAGTAACAACGAAAATAATTTTATGGTTGGGGGTCACCACAACATGAGGAACCGTATTAAGGGGTCGCGGCATTAGGAAGGTTGAGAAACGCTGCTCTAGGTGCTTCCGCCTTCAGACTAGAAACTGACTATCCTTTGTTCTTTCTTAGGTGCCTCTCGGGCATCACAAAGAAAAGTATTTCTCTAGTGACAAGGCCAAGGCTGTACTAAACCAATTCCAAACAGATCTGGAAGACCTGGAAAGGGAAATTACAGCCCGGAATGAGCAACTTGACCTGCCCTATGAGTACTTGAAGCCAAGCCACATAGAGAACAGTGTCACTATCTGAGCTCAAAGGTACCCCCACGTGGAAAACTTCAGATCAGCTCTACGAATGACATTTCCATCTTGAATTTCATGGTTTCCTAAGTCTCTGCTGCTAGTGCTCTATTTCCTCCCCCAACTAAATCTCCTACATCAGTATCCCACTAGTCCAGGGGGGCAGCAAGCCTTTTCTGTAAAAGGTCAGATAATAAAAATGTTAAGCTTTGTAGGCCACACCATCTCTGTCACAACTACTCGACTCTCCCATTGTAGTGAAAAGCAGCCACAGACAATATGAAAATGAATAAGTATGACTGTGTTCCAATAAAATTTTATTCATGGATAATGAAACTTCATGTGTCACAAAATATTCTTTTGGTTTAATCAACCATGTAAAAATTAAAAACAAAATTTAAAAAAAAACAAACCCCCCCCCCCCCCTGTACTTGGCTATAGGGATGTGCACAGGCTACAGGCTGAATTTGGCCCTTAGTGGCAGCACCTGCACAAGGTACCCTGCTCTAGCCTGAGGCACTGACCCTACTTGCAAACATCCAGAGAATGCTTTCAGGGGTGGGTGCGGAAGATTTCTTGGAGAAATGAACTATGTCAACTAATTCTCCTTTCCCAGGAGCTAGACTTCACGTTTGGTGGCCAACTTAAAAATTCCTGACTGTTCTCTGAAAACTTTCCCTCCATTCCTGTTTCTCCTAGTCTCACATATACCCCCAAACTTCCTGGAATAAGACAGTTTCTCCTAGGGCAGAATAAAAACCTTTGCCCAGGGGCAGCCGAGTGGCTCAGCAGTTTAAGAGCTCGCTTGAGAGCGCCAGCTCTGAGCAGCAGGGCTGCGGTTCGGATCCCACACTGAGGGCCAGTGACGCAGGCCCTCTACAGCTAAGATGAAGAACAACAGCTCGGCCTGGAACTAGGCTGCTGTGAGCTACATGAGTGGCCGGCAGCCGGTGTGAGCTGCCGGGAGCCACTGTGAGCTGCTGGAAGCCGCTGTGAGTGGCCGACCAATGACCGGCGACCGATTGCCTCACCCGGGAAGAGCACAATGATCATACCAACATGGGCCAGTGAAGCGAAGTCCTCCACAACTAGACTGAAGAACAAAAAAGGACAGCAACTTGTCTGTTCCCCTCCCCCAATTCCCCAGCACTGTTCCCCTCCCCCCAATTACCCAATAAAATCTTAAAAAAAAAAACCTTGCCCACAAATGATTTCCTTCCCCAAACAGTCTCAAATAAAAGAGATATGAAATTAATCTCTCAAGGCCACTTTCCCAGCCCCTTTAGTATTCTGGGGTCTCTATGTGTTTCCCAGTTTCCAAGTTCTCTTTCACAACCCTTTTAGAACAGTATGCAGAAAATAAATGGAAAATACCACAAAGTTATGGTAACCACTGACAGTGTTTCTTTGTCTAGTTCTGGGGTCTTGGGATCAAAATGAGCCCTCTCAATTATGCACAACAAGCTCAGTGCAAAACTGTTCTTTAAACACCCTTATTTCCCCGAATAATTATTACAAATCTATCTCTCATCAGTGAAGTATAAAAACTTTTTCTTTGGAGGGAGTGATCTATTCATATTTTTAAAATCTTGTACCTTACCTTATTCAAAGGGCCTATAATCCGTTTCTTTAATTTACAGCAGTGACATTTTTGTGTATTACTCCTTTCTCCAGTACATTTAGCAGGACCACTCACCTTCACAACTTGCTCAGAATCTGCTTTCCCTAGACTTTACCTAACGCCTCTATTTTTCCTGTATTTGGCATCCAAAACAATTAATATTTGGTAACAAAAAGTTACTTAAGTATTCCCAATGCCAAGAGCCCTCCGCAATTTTAAAGCGTTCTAGCCACAATAGCACACTTGGCCTCAGGAAGGGTCTCCTATCTCCTTTTATTGCTTCACAATATCTATTAAAGGTAGGGATAAGCAGAGAGGAAATGCAGGCGTTCTCTCTCGGTGTAAATCTGTCTCACCATTTCCCCATCACAGGATACCACCTGAAACTACGGTATCTGAGGGGAAAATCAGATAGTTCCAATCCTCTACTCCTAAAAGCCCATCGCCAAGGTTACCAGGAGCTCCGCAAGATCTAGGCTCTTTTCCAACCACTAGCTACCGCCTGGTTCCTCGTCACGTGATCTGCCAAAATTAGTCATGTGATATACCGGCTTTTCCCATTCTAACCTGGAGAGGGGGAGCCAAGAAGCCGGAGGCCATTGCTTCTGCAATACTGGTGTCCCAGCTACACGGATCAACAAAAGACTCATGAGAGGGTTCTCTGGTTTCAGACACTGCCTTTTCCTGCCGAAGTCTCTATAGAAGCCGGAGTCGCCCAGCGTTCTCCGCTTGGCGCCCCCGGCACGATGGTTGGGTCTGGAGGTCACGCCCCCTCGGCCTCCTTCGGGTCTTTCTGTCTTCCGCGGCGCGAGCCCCTGACTCAAGCTCGCTTTTCTCTGTACGGCGCATCCCGGGCTTACTCTCACCGCCTTTCCACTCGGCCCATAGCTAAACCATTCCTGACTCCCTTCATGGCGTCGCTTCTGTGCTGTGGGCCCAAGCTGGCCGCCTGCGGCATCGTCCTCAGCGCTTGGGGAGTGATCATGTTGGTGAGGGGACTGGCTGGCGAGAACCAGAGAGGGCCTCATGGGCCCCGGGGTTGGAGGGCTGGAAGGCGAACGGACTCCAGGCCTTAGGAAGCATCGGGCAGGCTGGAGGGGGTGGTAGATTAGCCGCTGGAGAATGAGACAGAACTGAGATTGAGAAATGGGGAACTGGAGCGGGACGGGTAGTGGGGGGAGGGAGTTGGAGCTTGGAATGGGAGCCCGGGCTGGTAAATTTGGAGACTCCTCATGGTAAAAGGGAGAAGAGCTGGGTTTTTGAGAGATGCTTGAACCAAATGGGAGGGCCCAAGAGGAAAGGGAGTGCTTGTTCCTGAAATGGCTAGCTGGGGTCTTGTTTCCCCAGGACTCTACCCGCCCCACTCCAGGAAGAAATATGAAGGAGCCTCGATTTTTCCTGACCCCTTTTGCCCTGTCCCGTGATAATGACGCCTCTGGCGAGGAGGATAATCTGGGTTCCTGACTATTCCTGCCCTTGCCCCAGCCAAGTTCTCTCTATGTCACCACCTCACGCCCTGTTCCGTATGACTGAGTTTGAATTCAGCAACAGCCATGCAAGCTCATTCTTGCAATTCCCAAACCCAGATGTTGTGGCAACATTAGAAGTGGCAGGAGTTTAGGGAGTGACCAGGTCAGGTGCCTGAGGTCAAAACCCACCCATTCCCTTTTTTCAGGTAATGCTCGGAATCTTTTTCAACGTCCATTCTGCTGTGCTAATTGAGGACGTTCCCTTCACGGAGAAAGATTTTGAGTAAGTTGTCAGGTGGCAGAGGGGGCAGGTGGGAGGTGGCTTAGCCTATGGTCAGAATTATGGGCGGGGAATTGCTGGAAGCTTGATGTTTGGGGCCCAGAAGCCTGGAAACTGGGTGCGTGCTGAGAACTGCTCTCTTTAGCATAGTTGGGATAGGTCATGGGAGTCGGACCTCAGTGGCCATCCTAAACCCACCACTTCAGATGTGGCATCTTTAAATATTTTACTTCTCTGTGCCTCCTTCCACCTCTGCAAAGTGGATGCTATAAAAGAACTCACCCCATAGGGTGAGAAACTTGAATAAGATAATACACATAAAAGCGCTTGGAATGATATCTGGCACATAGTAAGTGCTCAGTAAATGTTGGCTGCTGTTAATGTTTCTGACACTTCTCTGCCTAATCCAACCCCTAGGAATGGTCCCCAGAACATATACAACCTTTACGAGCAAGTCAGCTACAACTGCTTCATCGCTGCGAGCCTTTACCTCCTCCTCGGAGGCTTCTCTTTCTGCCAAGTTCGGCTCAATAAGCGCAAGGAATATATGGTGCGCTAGAGCACAGTCGTGTTTACCCTCTTCAGCCCCCTCCTCTATTTAAAGGTTCTCCTCACCCTCTCATGATCCCCCATTCTGGTGCCCTCTACGGGACTCGGTTTTCCTGGAGAGAGATTTAATCCCTGTTCTCCCATCTCTGGTGCCCGACCCCAGTGGAGGGAGGCTGGGACTGACCGTCATCTGTTCCTCCAGCCCCTTTTTCGCTTTGTCCCGTACCACAATAAAGAGAAACTGCCCTCTGAATCCTTGTGTCTGTGCTTGGCTTGTGGGGGGTGGCTTTTGGGGCTGGAGGAGATAGGCCCCCAAGTAGGCAATTTCGACCCCTCAACCGCGACGGAAGTGGAGTGAAGCCCGGCCGGAAGTGAGGCGGTGTATCCACTCCTTCCCTCAGTGCGCCGAGGCGGCCTAAGTAACTACGGTGGTGGCGCTGCGAATTTGAGCAAATCAGCTGCGGGGAGGGGCGGGACTTCCTGCGCGGGTTGGAGCGGTTCGACCCGCCAGCTTTCCCGTCCCGGCTCGGTGGTGGCGGCGGCGGCGGCGGCGTCTCCCTGCGGAGGCGCGCGGGGCCATGACGTCAGCATCCACAAAGGTTCGACCTCCCTGGCGGATAGCGCTCCCTGGCGGCCACGGGAAGGCGGGGACCCCCAGTTGGCTCCGGGCTCTTCCGCCCGGGACGCGAAGCGGGGAGCTGGAGGCGAGCCTGGGGTGGGGCTAGGGGCTCACGGCGGAACGGCGCGGGGGTGTGCCCCGGTAATGCTGTCCCGCCCCCAGGTCGGAGAGATCTTCTCCGCGGCTGGTGCCGCCTTCACGAAGCTCGGGGAGCTGACGATGCAGCTGCATCCCGTGGCCGACTCTTCCCCCGCCGGGTACGTGAGCCCGAACTGGGACGTGGACGCTGAGAGCGGACGCTTAGACTCGATCATTGACACGGACACTCGCTAGCGCAGGGACAGATGTTAATTTTAGTTTGCCTTTGTGCCTGACACAGCGCAGAGGTGTTAATAAATGATTGTTGAATGAATGACAGATAAAACCACAGACTGAGGCTCGTAACCCGGACTCATTTTTACAGCTCTGCCGTGCTGTGAACCGCAGACCATAAGACCACCACCACTACCCACCCACCCCAAATCTTGTGGAATTCCCTCAGACTGCTGCAGACTGTGTTCAGGTCTTCAGTTTGTAGACCCCTACATGTCGAATTGGCTTCAGTGGACTGCTTACAGCAGCTGTTTCACGTTGATGGGGAAGAGGTTTTCTTATAAGGTGGTGGTGGTTGCAATATCATAATGTGGTTGGGGGTCCTCGGGGTTCCCACGGAGTCTTAAGAACTTTTTTTTAAGGAGAACCTCTGTGGATCCATGGGAGGGACCCCAGATTTTGAGGGGAGGAGGCTGGTTGCTGTGGCTGGCTCCACACCCCTCCTCCTCCCACTTTCGCTATTCCCCTCTCCCCTTCTGACAGTGCCAAGTGGACGGAAACGGAGATAGAGATGCTGAGGGCTGCTGTGAAGCGATTTGGGGACGATCTTAATCACATCAGCTGTGTCATCAAGGAACGGACTGTGTGAGGGAGGGTTGGCTGTGGAGAAAGGGGGCGGGGGGGTGGGCAACTGTCTTCCTCCGTAACCATTGTTCCAGCTTCCTCAGAACTCCCTTCCAGCTCAACATCTTTTCTACGTTGTTGCTAATTTTGTTACCATCCTCTTGAAAGATAAAAGAATTGTCATAGTTGGTCAGAAGTTACTAAAATGCTTTGGTAATCAGGACCTTCCAAGAATTTGATTCTAGGTTGCCCAGGCTACCCAGTAATTGAATTTGGTAATGGGAGTTGCCTGGTTATTTATACAGATCTGTTGAGACTTTACGACTGTAATGTTTCCAGGGATATTGTGATTCTGAACTGGTTGATCAGAATCTACCTGTAGATCACCAAGGCGAATCAGGTAGCCTTCCACATCCATACATCTCTCCCAGATGAGAATTAGGAAATGGGCCCTTCCCACTACTCAGTTCAGGGAATCCATTCTTCAAACTCCACCTGCCCTAAGTGAGTGAAAAGCTTCAGGAATATGAGAACCCTACCAAAGGGTTAGGGTCCTAACTTGGACTCTTACCCAGGTTCTGAAGGGGCTCCACAGTATTCCTTCAGGGTGGCCCATTACCCGCATCCCTCCCCTCCCTTCTTCCCGCATCCTCTCTGATGACTCCCTTCCTAACCTGCTCTCTCTTTTCAGGGCTCAGATAAAGGCCACCGTGAAGCGCAAGGTATATGAAGACTCTGGTATCCCCCTTCCAGCTGAGTCACCCAAGAAAGGGCCCAAGAAGGTGACATCTGGTGTCTTGTCGCCTCCTCCAGCTGCCCCTCCACCAAGCAGCTCCAGTGTCCCTGAGGCTGGGGGTCCCCCCATAAAGAAACAAAAGGCTGGTGAGGGCTGTGGAGTTGCTGCTTTGGGGTTAAATGTCCCATCTGAGGTTCAGTGAGAGAATTGGGCTTGAGTTAAAGAAAGACAAATCTACCTTCCTCTCCCAGTGAAGGTTCGCAGAGAGTGGCTGGGGTAGGGGAGGGAGGGCGAGCTTGAAACTTGGGGAAGCCGGGGTGGCAGTCAGGGAACCTAGAGCCTAGCTTATGCCCCCCTCCCAGATGTGACACTCAGTGCTCTGAACGACTCGGACGCCAACAGTGACCTGGTGGATATTGAAGGGCTAGGAGAAACTCCTCCAGCCAAGAAACTCAACTTCGACCAGGGTAGGAGTCCTCCTCCTCCTACAACCAGCTGAAGGGGTGGGGGAGGAAGTACTCACTTGGATGGTAGGGGAAGGTCTCAGCAGGAGCCTCCTCCCTTGTACAGGGGCTTTGGAAGAGAAGGTTCACTCATACACAATGCAGGGGGTTGCGTCAGTAAGGAGCCTGGCATTGGGGAGGCAGGAATTGTCTTGGAAGCATACTTGGGGCTCGCGCCATCTCGGCCCATTTTACTTTCTGTTCCAGACAGCCTGACCCTGGATTCTGGCCTTCTCATGACCTCTGCTGATTTTCCTCTGCTCTCTCGCTGAGCCTTCCACCTCTGACCCCTCTCTCTGTTCACCCTGGAACTGTGGATCGCCTGGGACTCTGAGCAAGGCCTGCATGAGAGAGGGTCGAAAGGCTGTTAGGGCTGCCCACCTTGCTGTTCCAGTATAAGCATCTGCCTCCAACCCCTTTAATCCCTTTTGAGCTGATGGACTTTTTTATACAGAAAACAATAAAGATCTCCCTGTCAGCTTGGTGCCTTCGTTTAACATTATTGGAGTGCAAGGGGCCCTCTCTCCTTAGCCCCTCAGGGGCTCAGCCCCCCCTTGGCAGCTCTCACCACTCTGCCTGGAGCAGCTCAGCCAATATTGGCAGACTCTCTTCCCAGTGCCAATATTTCTGTGCTGCTAGAGCCAGGGGAGCTGGGTGTGGGCAACAAAGACTCTACTTTGCTCTCTGGAGGCAGAACTTACTCCCAGGGTCTCTGGCAGTCAGTATTCCTGAGACTTCCCTGGGAATTTTAAATTTCCAGTGCTTTCATACCTCCCTCTTCACCTCCCCCTGCAACCCCCAACTTTGCATGAAGGCCCCAGATGTTTTTTATGTCACTTTTCCAGGGTAGCCTCCGGGGCCAAGCCTCAGCGGTGCCTCCCCCACCCTCGCTCTAACACCACAGTGTGGTTTGGACGTGGCCACAGTGCCGTACAAACCACAGTGTGCTGCTGGGGCGGGAGCAGGACTGGGGTGGGTGGAGAGGAAGGGAGCACAAGACAGTGCTGGGAAGTCCCCTACAACCAAGAGTAGGGATATAGAGAAGGCATAAAAGGCAAAAATGGCCCCCAAATGGTTGGGGAAAACAAGAAACCAGAGTTAGGAGCTGAGCAGGCAACTGGAGGGAGAGGGTCCTAAGGGTTTGCAGTATAAGACTGAAACCATCTTCCCTAGAAACTACTTAGGGGATCTCTAGGGTGGGGTAAGAGGCGGAGGAAATAGGGAGTGACTATGGGGGACCAACAAACTGCTTCCCGACTCAGCAAGGGCAGGGACCCAAGGCTTCCTGTGTCCGTTCCTCCCCTCTCTGGGTCAGAACCCAAGAGAGAGCAAGGAGGAACAGGAGGCCAAGGACAGCAGGGATGGAAGTTGGCAATCCAGAGGTGGTGGGACTGAAACATGGTTGGGAGAGGGGGGCCGGAAGTCTCCCTGGGCCCTGGGCCTGCCACAAGATGGAGGCCAAAGGCAGGAAATGGAGGCCAGGGAGAAAGGGGAGCAGCAGGGCCCAGAAAGAAAGCCATCTGGACCGGGGGTCCAAGTATTCAACTCCCAGAGCTGTTCCCACTCCCCGTGGCCCCCCAGGACCCAAGTCCCAACCCCTGCAACAACCCCCATCAGCCCATCCATCAGGCTCAGGAAGGCATGCCCACCCCAGAAAGCCACGTTTAAGCTGAGACAAACATGCCTCTTCCCACCCCCACCGTAGGCCTTCCCTCAGCCTTTCTCCTGTCCAGGACCTGATTTTTTAAAAGCACCCCTCAGAAAGCAAAATCCAAGGGCCAAAATCCCTTCTGCAAATCAAAACAATATCCTCTAAAACCCAAAAATTATCCTCCCACCTCCCATCCCACCTTTTACCACCCTCCCTTCCGACACACCCCCCAAAACTCTTAGCAATCAAAAAGATCTAAGATGGTAGGTGTAAGCAGGCTTTTTAGGCCCCAGAGATGCCAGACCCCTCCCTTAAGACCCCTATTTGCCCTACAGCAAATCCTGCCAAGGCCTCCTGCTCCTCACTCCACCTTCCACAGCCCCCAAACTGTACAGCTGCCCCCAGCTCCCATCCTCGGCAGAGCCTTTGTGGGGGTGAAACAGATATCAAACACTATACTAATGGCTGGGGATGTTCGGGGCCCTCTGGTCTCAGCCTTTGGTTTCCATCTTGGCAACTGCAATTTAGGGGCATAAGAGAAAGCCTCTCCTATTGTCCCCCCAGTTCCAAGACTGACAAAGCCCAACCCCACCCCGGCACGCACCTCCAAACCTCCCCCCCAACCGCCACGTCTCTCCTGAAAACAGGGGACACTTTCCTCCCCACTTACCTCAGCTACTCTCCCCTGAGATCCTGGTCCCCTATTTTGAAGGGAGCAAAATTTGGGGTGCATCTCTCACATTTGGGGTGAAGGAGAAAGGAGCCGCCCCAGTCGCATCGCTGGCCTCCTTCCTCTCGGCTGGCTCAGGGGGTGGGGAGTGCCCTAGGCAGGGGGGACCCCCACAAGAGAGCTCAGGATAGGGTTCCTCCACTCCCAGTCAGAATTGGGGACACCCCCCCCCCCAAACCGGTCCCAGCCCATCCGTCTCCAACTCGGCGGGAGAGGCAGCTGCAATGCCCCAGTCAGATTCCCCCAACACTACATTCCTCACCCCATCTACAGGGGTCCCGGGGGCCCAAAAAAATCCCCAAAAAATCTAGGATGTTGGCAGAACAGTCCTGGACTAGCTCCCCAAATTTGGGGTCCTCAGATACCCCCGTTTTTTCAGGAAAATTCCGTCTTTTGCCTGCCTCCCGCCAGCCCTGCTCTGTCCCGATGCCAATTTTAGAAGTCACTCCCTCCTTCCTCCTCCCGGTCTCTCCAGGCCCCCCCGCCCGGGGGCTAGGGTCCAGGACACCTGGCTTCCAGACCGGGGGGCACTCCTTGAAAGGCCAGGGGCCAGGAGGTCAAGCTCATAGCCCCAGTCTTAGGGAAGCAGGAAAGCCCGATCCTCCCTTCCCCTCCCCCCTGGCTGGTCTCCGTGGTGGTTCAGGAAAGCCTGGAGGATTGGAATCTGCCATTGCTGTTGCACAGGCAGTTTTTTTTTCCTTGGGTTGGGGGGGTGGGCGGTGGGAGGGAGAGAGGGGAGGAGAGCCGAAGAGAGCAGGACCCAGGCGTGCAGAGCTGGCCTGGTTTACCCCCTAGTCCCTGCAGCCGTGGGGAACCCCTCCCCCGTAATCTCACCCACACTCCCAGTCCTATGTCTGCTTTCTGTTTGGGGCTCTCATCCTAGAAAATCAGGGGACAAGAATCACCTCCTTGTACCCCACCACCACCTCTCTTTGCCACAGTTTCAACAGCAACTCCCCTAGTCAGGGTGTCCACTTTACCACAAGACACCCCATCTCCTCCCACCTTCTCCCAAACTAAGGCATGCTCCCTTAAGAAATTGGGGTTCAGAGTCTGAAACCACCTTTTCTCCCTTAGATCTATCCAGGTTATATAGAAATAAGAGGAAATACACTCCCTTTCCAAATTTCTCCCTGCAAACCCTGGGCATATTTGGGGGTTCACTAAAGAATGAGCTTTCTATTATCTGGAGTGAAAGGGAGCTATAAACAAAGGACATCCCAAACCAGCATCGTACTACAAATTAAGTGACCCCACAAATCAATCTCACCTTAAGATCCATCCCTCAGCTTCACCAAATGCACTCAAATAGTGACAAAACCCCCCAAAATAAGGATACCCCAAAACTTTAGTCTCCTACCCTGGGCCGTCACCTTGTTTCTCCCCCTGAAAAAAAAGCTTCCTGGCTATCTATTCATAAACAGGAATATCCCCTCCTCAGAGTAAGTTTCCACAACATTCAAATATCAAGTTTTATTCCCCCTCGTGGATCCATAATCACAGGCCTTCAAACTTGCTCTCAGGTTTCTATTATGTTCTACCTCAAGATAATAAAAATAACTCTAAATTGAATTTCATGCCCCCCTAAGTCTAATCTGCTCCTTGAAACTTATATGGCAGCCCAAAACAGAATGTACTTCCAAATCAGCATGACTACTATACTTGCAATCAGATTGTCCATATATACCAATCACTATGAATCTCTAAAACAAAACCTTCACCCACCTCCTGAATAATACCTAGCAGGTTCTCCTGATATTCCAAGATGACAATCTCCAAATTGTGGGCTCAGAATCCCCAGAACTAATGTAGCTTCAAAATCAGCTCCATGCCTACCTTACCATCTACCTTCAAGCCTGAATGCAGCCCCCAGTGCCTAAAACAATCAAACTAACTCAACACCCCATAATAAACATGCACTCCACAATTGACCAGATAACACAAAATCAACTCCATCCTGATACTACAGGGAGCCCCTAGTCTAACCCATACCTCCAAAATGGGCAGAGACCAAAGTAACCCTCACATGCAAAAGCCACCTTACCATCCTGAATCCCTAGTGGTCCCCAATTCCCAGTTTTCTCAGCAGTTCTTTTGTTCACCCAAATAAAGACACCCTCAAATCTGCACACTCAGGCCTAGATATGCAGCTTCATGGGTCGTGGTCAGTCATTTCTGGGCAACTGGAGACTCTCCTGAGCCCAATTCTAAGACTTTCCTGCTTAGGAGCTAGACTCAGCTCTGGCCTCTCTTTTCCAAATGAACCTTGTCTCCCCCACCCAACATCTCCTCAAACAAAATATGAAGTGTGACCCATGCCTATATCCCAGATCAGGGACTTAAAATTAGGGTTAACAGGCCACTCCTGCCTTCTCTCCTTTCTTTTACCCTGAGACCCACTGGGTTTCCCTTCTCTTTGTTCACCCCACCCAACTTTCATATTAATGTTCACTAAAAATCCACCTCTAAAGACAAATAATAGTGTCTAGCTTAATTAGAAAGGAAAACCCTATACTCCCAGGGCTCAGACCCCACTACTGTCCCACCCACTGATCTTGCTCCCAAAGCCAGGGAATACCCAGGTATAGTAACCCCTGCCTCGGACAAAAGTTCCCTCTGTCGCCTAACTCTCCCTCCCTCTGCCCAACCCTAGCCCCCTCCTAAATGACAGAGGCACAAAAGAAACCAGCACAAAGGGATGGAGGACGAAAGTTTCAGCCGCCCAGACCGAATGGATCCTGCGCCCGTGTCTGAATGGACCCCCCAGCCCGGTGGAGACAACCGGACGAGAAGAATCTAGTGCTCGTCCGCCCCCTCGTGGAAGGAGTCAAACATTGCCGAGTTTTGCCTACTTGCCGCGCTGGACCCCGGCGTCCCGCCAGCCTCCAAGCGTAGCCGACGGGCGGGTGCCCGAGGCCCTGGTGAGATGGGATTGGGGGAGGGCGAGCGGGCTATGGGCGGGAATCTGTCTCTCTGGATCCCTAAAAGGATTCAGAAGGGAGTTGGGAGCAAGAGTCCGGGCGCCTAGGTCTCCTGAGCGTCTCTTGGCCCCCACCCGGGGCTTTCCCCACCTCCTCGAGGGGAAGCAGCTGGCGGGGCCGTCCGGTCGCAGGACAATGGAGGGAAACGAACTAGAAATCATATCCGCCCTTTCCCTACCCCGCCTGGTCAGAGCTTTCCCCCCCACACACCCCCGCCCACACACACACACTTTTGTAGGCCCCGCTAGAGGAACCTGTCATTCACACCATCCCTCCCGCTGTCTGAGACCCCACAGGAGCCCACTATCGCTCCCGCCCCAAATCTGGTGCTTCAATGGGCTCCCCCTTATGTCTCGTTATACCGTACACTGGAAAGGGACTTTTGCTGTATTCACTCTCCTGTAACAGGCTCCTGGCACACCCTTCCAAAAGCCAACACACCAATTTTTGCTGTCCCAGTCCCCCGCCTACCCGACAATCCAGTCACCCATGTTTTCAACCTCGATATCCCCAACCTCCTCCCCAATTCCAGTGTCCCATTCTTGGTTCCACTTTCGGTGACCCAAGACCCCTTGGGTTACGACCACCCAGCGTTTGAGGTCCCGCCCTAGAGCCGGAGATCCCGCCCCCGGATTGCCATCTGGAGAGCGAGGGAGGAAGGAAGGATACAGACCCAGGCGTTCACCCCACCTCCACCCCCGCCCCCGACATCCCGGCGAGATAAAGGAGCCGAGGCCAAGAGAGGAGAGAGACCCCGCCCCCCACCCCCGAGAAGATACGCCGCAGCCCCTGCTGGACGGGGGTAAGAACGAGAGACTGAGGAAACCGGACTCCTGGGTCCCCGAAGAGGGTTGGGGCTTGTTAATGGTAGGAAGACTGAGGCCCCCAAATTGGGCTCAGCTAGGGATCGGGAACTAGATGGTAGTAGAGTTCGTGGTTTGGGGGAGGGAGCTTCGATTGGGATTTGAAGGTATGTGGACTGCAGGTCATATGGGGTCTCCAGGCAGGGTCGGACACCTGAGACTCAGGCGCGCAGTGAAGCAGAAGGGAGTGGGAGTTGCTGGAAGGGCGCTAGGAGTAGGGTGCTGGAATCGCGCTAGGAGTCGAACTAAGGGCTGCACGCAGGATTCCCTACGCCCGCCATCAACGCCGCGGTGAAGCTAGACGCCTCTTCGAATCTAGAGGCGGAAAGCGAGCGATGGTGTGGTCGAGGGCAGAAAGAGGAAGATGAATTAAGTGAGGCTGTGTGAGCCTTGGCCGTGGGCTTGGCTCTAGTTGCACCTCAGGAGGATGAAACAAACTGTGGAAGGGAAGCCGTCTTAGGACTGCTTGGATCCCTGAGCCCTCTCCTTGGCATCCCCAGGCCTGCGTCGCGATGGGTTCCACCGCTACACCCGAGGGAGAACTGGGCTACGTCCGCGAGTTCACTCGCCACTCCTCCGACGTGCTGGGCAACCTGAATGAGCTGCGCCTGCGCGGGATCCTCACTGACGTCACGCTACTGGTTGGCGGGCAACCCCTTCGGGCTCATAAGGCAGTTCTTATCGCCTGCAGGTTCGAGGGGAGACTCATCGGGTGGGGTGGGACCAAATGGGAAAGGGGCGGGGCCGTAAGGTCTTTGGGAGGGAATCCAAAGCCCAGCCTTATAGGAGCAGGGGGCGGAGCGTCTCGGAATTGAGGCGGGGTGACAGTGGGGAGGAGGTGGAGCTCTCTATGGGGAGTGACTGTCTATAGTGCTGTGTCTCTTTTAGTTCCCTAGCCCCTAATTTGACCTATCTACCCTTTCTCCAGCGGCTTCTTCTATTCAATTTTCCGAGGCCGTGCAGGAGTGGGAGTGGACGTGCTCTCCCTGCCCAGGGGCCCCGAAGCTGGAGGCTTCGCTCCTCTTCTGGACTTCATGTACACTTCACGCCTACGCCTCTCTCCCGCCACTGCACCAGCAGTTCTTGCAGCTGCCACCTACTTGCAGATGGAACATGTGGTCCAGGCATGCCACCGCTTCATCCAGGCCAGGTGAAGGAGCCCCAGCTCGGTGTTCTCCGTGGGTGAGGTGGTATCCCAGGTGTTAAGGGCAGAGGCCAAGATCAGGAAATAGCACTAATGTCCATCGCACTTTTCCCAGCTATGAACCTCTGGGCATCTCCCTGCGGCCCCTGGAAGCAGAACCCCCCACGCCCCCAACAGCCCCTCCACCAGGCAGTCCCAGGCGCTCCGAAGGGCACCCAGACCCACCTACTGAGTCTCGCAGCTGCAGTCAAGGCCCCCCTAGTCCAGGCAGCCCAGACCCCAAGGCCTGCAACTGGAAAAAGTACAAGTTCATCGTGCTAAACTCTCAGGCCTCCCAAGCAGGGAGCCTGGTGGGGGAGAGGAGTCCTGGTCAACGTTGCCCCCAAGCTGGGCTCCTCAGTGGAGATGAGGCTTCCAGCAGCAGCAGCGGCAGTGAAGAAGGACCCATTCCCGGTCCCCAGAGCAGGTACAGTAACTGGAACCCCAAGAATTTGTAATGGCTAGCCTCAGCTAGAAGGCAGAGCCAGTGAGCCTGGGTGGTCAGGAGCAAGGAGTGAGGAGATGGGTTCCAGAGACACTAGCGTACATTAGGAAGTTGGCCAGAGGCCAGGCTTACTCAGTGGTGTGGGTCTTTGGCAGCACAATTGGACATGGCTTGTTGGTCAATACTGGCTCACTTCTGGAGGCTAGGCCTTTGGCTCAAAGTTCTCCAACAGAGAAGCCCCCCTTCACATAGTCTTTCCTAACTTTTTACTCTGCCTAGGCTCTCTCCAACTGCTGCCACTGTACAGTTCAAATGTGGGGCTCCAGTCAATACACCCTATCTCACACCCCGGACTCAAGAGGCCACTCCATCACCCTCTGGGCAGGCTTGTCCACCACCAGGTAAGAGCCCCTCCTTTTACTTCCTTCTGGGATTTTCTCCTGTGGCTGCTCAAGGTCAGTTTGGGCCAAAAGGCATTAGGAAAGGCCTATTTCAATTATCTACTGCAAATTAGGATCACCAAGGAGCTTTTGAAAATCCCCTTGCCTAGCTCACACCCCATTGATCAGAATGTCTGGAAGTAGGAGCCAGGCATCAGTATTTTTAAAGCTTCCAATGAGTAGCACTGTTTGGAAACTTCTGGCCTATTCCCATCCGGGGCTGAGTGGTCAGCCCAAAGCTTGGCAGGGCCTCTCTGGCATGCTGTTATCCAGAGTGGTGCAGAGTGGTGAGAGAAACAGAAACTTGCACCCACTAGCAGAGGCCTCCACCTACCACCACCACTATTGAAGAGATTAGCAGAGAACTCTGGAGTCAGACATGGAGCCCTCTTAACTAACCATGTAACCTCGAGTAAGTCAACTGAGCTCTAGAAGCCTTTAACAGTAAATTGGGAAAAAGAAAACACTACTATGTAGTTTGAGGATTCCCTGGTATTGTTGTCATTACCCACTCTCCTCGCCAGGAAGTGAAATTTTCAGCTGCCAGAACTGTAAGGCTGTGGCTGGGTGCTCACCAGGGCTGGACCCCTTGGTTTCTGGGGATGAAGACAAGCCCTACAAGTGTCAGCTCTGCCGGTCTGCCTTCCGCTACAAGGGCAACCTGGCCAGCCACCGCACGGTGCACACAGGTAGGGAAGGAGCAGGGAGGAGAGGGCCCCTGGCCTTCATGCCCACGGGTATCCTTGGGCCAAGTCCCTGACCTCCCTTCCTCTCTGCCTCCAGGGGAAAAGCCCTACCACTGCTCCATTTGCGGAGCCCGCTTTAACCGGCCGGCAAACCTGAAAACGCATAGCCGCATCCATTCGGGAGAGAAGCCCTATAAGTGTGAGACCTGTGGCTCGCGCTTCGTACAGGTAGAGAGCCAGTCTCAGAGCGGGCTCCAAGGCAAATTTACAAGAGGGCAGGGCCGGCCGCCAGGGAAGGGTTCTATCCCTCCAATGGAACGCGGTCTGAAGTCTCCTCCCCTCCCAGGTAGCGCATCTGCGCGCGCACGTGCTGATCCACACTGGGGAGAAGCCCTATCCTTGCTCTACCTGCGGAACTCGCTTCCGCCACCTACAGACCCTCAAGAGCCACGTTCGCATCCACACAGGGGAGAAACCTTACCACGTGAGTACCCACCCGACTTGTCCTGGCCCAAAGCCTTAAAATTATGCCCCCCCTCCCCCTCCCCCGCCCCGTTTACCTAGGGGCGGGGCTCGGAGAGGAGCGGGCCTGGCGGTCACCAGATCTTTTCAAAATGGGCCGTGACCTGGAAGAGTCCGCGCGCGCAAGGGGCGGGGCTGGGGCGGAGGAGGGATGTGAGTAAAGGGGCCGGGATGGGGGTGGGGATGGGCAGGTATAGAATTGAGAGTCCTGGACTGGACACTGTGCTACTGAAAGAGAAGCTAACAGATGGGAAAACCTTTGCTGAAGAGGGGGGCTCCTGTCTACTTGGCCTCCCTCCCCCCTGAGGATTTGGGAGGACAAAAGGACTAAAATCTATTCAGTGGAGAGCTGGACAGTTCTCCCTCGCTCCTTGCTCGACACCTAAAAGGTGGTTGTGGATGGGGCGGGACCTGACCTGCCTGTCCCCCCACAGTGCGACCCCTGCGGCCTGCATTTCCGGCACAAGAGTCAACTACGACTGCATCTGCGCCAGAAACACGGAGCTGCTACCAACACCAAAGTGCACTACCACATTCTGGGGGGGCCCTAGCTGAGCGATGGCCGACCCCACTCGCTTGCTGGAAGCCAGGAAAGCTGCCAGCCCATGCCTACTTTCTCTGGCAGACTTGGGCATGGGGGTGTGCAAGGCCCCTGCAGTATCAGAAACTGCCACCACCTTAATTTCTCACTGGGGAGAGCAGGGGTGGCAGATCCCAGCTTGATTTGCCTCTGTTTTGCTGGTCAAAACCTCTTCCCCACAATCAAAATTGTTTCTGAGGAGAGAGAAAGCTGGGAGCTGGGGGAGAGACTGGAGTCCCCCATTTCTTTAAGGGAACAGTCCTCCACCTGCAACCCTCATCTCATTTGGTTTATCTGTAAATATAATTTATTGAGGCCTTTGGGTGACACCAGGGCCTTCATTGTATTGCATTTCCCATGTCCCTCTTCCACAAGTGTGATCAAAAGTGACCTGAAACACAGAGTGTGAGGTCACAGCTCTGCTGGCAGAGATTAGCACTTGGCTGTCTCCTTTGGCTTGAGTGTTTTATATTATTATTGCCGTAACTTTAATCTTTAGAGTTGTTCTTTCTCCTATTTGTTTGCTTGTTGGGGTTCTCTGTGTCCTGTCCCTCCAATTCTAGGTCTGGAACCTTTATTTGTTCTAGGGCAGCTCTGGGAACATGTGGGTTTGTGGAGTTGGGTCAGGAACCCACTCTGGTATTCTGAATATTGTAAGTTATCTAGTAGGCTAGAAAAGGGTAGACTTTTCTCTGTTATTCAAGGGCTATGGGAACCTTTATGGTGAGCATGAAATGGGAGGTAATGAATGCCTCCTGAGGGCTGTGGGTGTGGGGGCTTTGTCAGTCTTGGAACTGTGGGGATGACTGGAGAAGCTTTCTCTCATGCCCCTAACTGTCCTGTTAGTCTGGTCACCTAGGTTTGACTCTGCTGTGTCTGTCATGATAGAGCCCACAACCCTCCCAGTAGGGCCTGTCCTTGTCACTGAGTTGATCCTTCCATGAGGGAGAGATCTGAAATTCCTTATCAGAGATGATGCAGCTTTTTCTGATACTGCCCAGTCTCTAAGAATGTTATGACCTAGGGGAGAATTATGAAACTCTTTATCTTGACTAAACAGTTAAGAGTCATGTGACCAGTCCTTTACTGCAGAGGCATCTGGGCTTGAATGTTCCTTGGGGTTCTCTTTACCTGAGAAAAACCCCTTCTTCCTTCAGTGGGTTTTTGGACATCTTTTGGCAAATGTCCAGATTCTAGAAATTTCTTTGCCTCTAGAAGGCACAGGTGCTTGGTAACTTTCTTACCTTAGACCACTGCATCTGTGACCTTTTCTGTCCATCACTGCATTCCTGTCTGGAACCAGTGAATGCATTAGAACCTTCCACAGGGAGATTAAAGGGGCTGAGTTCCATTTTGAATTCGCTGTAGTTTGGGATTATGATTGGGATTACTGTTGGGATTAGAGATTTAAAGATTTAAAAGACTGATTGACTGATTGATTGATTGATGGATGGATGGATCTTCTAGTGGACCAAGTTTCCAGGTAGAATTAAGCGGTTGGTTGAGGGGTGCAGTCTCTGGTTTGGCCAAGTAGGTAGAAAGTTAGGAATGGGGTTGCCTCTTAATTGGGTGGACTATTAGATGATACTCTGAAGCCTTGATTTACAGTCCTGACCCTTTTGCTGTGGAGCCTATTTGATTATGGGGCATGGGGTGGAGGGTAAGAAGCACTTTGAATTTCTGGGGGGTAGCTTCCTCAAGATAGGTCAGTACTAGTGGCTGTCACTTGGGGACTGGTGAGAAAGCTACTCTTCTCCCTCTTACTCCCCACTGCAGACTTGAAGGAGGGAGGGGAAGCAGAGGAGAGATGTGAAAAGGAACCATGAATTTTTTTTTTTTTTAAGCAGACTGGATGGGCAGGTGGAGGGTGCCTAGGGGTGGAGATATTAGATCTTGCAAGATCAGAATCATGGAATAAAGAAGCCTCTTTGTGCTGCCTTCTGTGTCCTGGGTTCTTGCCTGGGTGATCTGGGGCCTGGAGGAAGCTGGGGAAAGAAGGTTCTTCCCTCCTGGAGACCATCTTGGATTCTGTGCTCATTCCACTGTCCCATCCCACCAGACATTTTAAATAGCCCTTGTTCTCCCCTGCCCTTGCCTTCCGGCTCATTGTGTAGGAACCAGTGACTTCATGAAGTTTCTCCGGAGCCACCTGCATCCTGCTGCTCTGAAGTCACTTCCTGCCTGAAGTGTGGAGGTGGCAGGGAGAAGCCAGGAAGCCACTAATAATACCAAGGGGCTGAGGATGCATCTGTGCTGGGACACCCCCTACCATTACCATCACCACCATCACCAAAGAAAATGGATAGGACTTGAGTCCCATAAGAACAATAGGGGCTAGAGGTGGCAGTGAGAAGGCTGTGTGGTTAGAGCCAATATGCCAGCTCCACTCCTCCCCCAGCAATGGTGTCTTGGAATCTATCCATTGACCAATACATGTTTCCCTCTCATCCTTTCCCTGTCCTATGTGTGTCCTGGGTGCACAGCTCTGTTCTTCCCTGTGAGCAGAGAGTAGAGGGCCACTGATTCTGGTAAGTTACCTCTCTTTTGGACTTAAATGACTAATCTCTGAAATAAGTCCATTAACATGGTCTCTGCAGTTCCTTCCAACATTTACAGTTTGTGGTTGTGTTTCTCAGTCTTTTAAAACCCGTGACATGGATTAGATTTTTAAAAAGCAAAAAATGAAACAAAACTAAAACTTTTCTTCTCCCCCCACTACAGCTTATCTCCTGTTGAAAATGAGACCAGCTAATATTACTAATCTGCTACATGTCAGGTCCTAAACTAAGCATTTTAATGCATAGATTATCTAATTCAACTTCCCTGACAACCCTAAAAAGTAGGTGCTATTATTATTCCCAATCTACAGATCAGGAAACCAACTAAGAGGTTCAATATCTTGGCCAAGTCATTAAGTGATGAAGCCAAGATTGGAACTTTGGTTCTAAACACTGTGCTCTTAACCACTATGTTATAATGCCACACCAACTCATTGGCATATTCCCCACCACCCAAAGTTTTGACTTTACTTACACACACACACACAAAAGGTGTTTTGGATATGATCATTTTTATTTCCCACATATAAAATTATAAGGCTCAATATACTTTTCAAAATTACACAGCCTCCCTCCCCACATGTCTGGGTATGAACACTTGAGTCCAAGTTTGAAGGTCAGGGTCTTGGGGAGGTTAAATTATAATGAAGAAACAGAAAGCCGGGCCATTAGTGCTATATAAAGTGGAGGGACTGGGTACTGGTTGGGTTGGAGGGGCCCACTGCTCCAGTAGTCATGGCTTGTCTCTTTATCTAATCATGAAATCAAAAATTGGTTAGAAAGTGGTTGTTACTAGAGGGACAGAACAGAAGAAAGGGTTCCAGTCCCAGTGAAGAAGGGGTGGGTGATGCTGGTAGGACCCACCCTTCCTCTCCCCAGTTACAATATTTTTGGTTTCTGTGACCTAAAGTTTTTCTGTTAGTGGGAACAAGCTGCAGAAATGAACGCCAGGAGTCCAACAACCCATTCCCCTTGTCTCTTCCCTTGGCCTTTGAACCCCTCAGGGATCCAGGCATCTAGATTCTAGTGGCCTCAGGAGCGTTGCCAGGTATTTTGTTTGAGTCGTATCTCATTACCCTCTGCTCGTCCGCACCTAGCCTTGCAACACTTGGGCTCCTTATTAAATAAGTGAATGTTTTCCTCTCCTGAACCAGTTTACGTACCACCAACCCCCACGTACTCCTTACGTGCGGGTCTTGGTGCTGAAACCTGGGCGAATTGGCGTGCTAGGTGAACAGGAAACGGAAGCAGCCTCCTGAGAGGTCCCCACGTTCCGCATCTAATTGGCCTCCTAAAGTTTCCTCTTTACGCATGCTCCCTACTCAGGGCCCGGGTCCAGAACAATGCTCTAAATCCCGCCCTGCCTTTCCGGCTCCGCCCCTGCTCAGGAGTCAAGCGTCCTCATTGGCGAGCTATGCCAGGCTGACCAGGTGCTAACACTTGCAATGATAAAATTGATAATCCATACGGAGAATCGCCTCAACGGTGGGGCCCAAACCCAGTGTCGCCCCCCGGCTCTTCTACCTAACGTTGCCCACGGCTGGATCTGTCCTGCCCAGGCCTCTATTCTGTACTAGAGACCAGCAGAGCCACGCCCACGGGCGCTGATCTCCCCAGAAGCACCGGCCTGTTCTTCCCACCAATATCGCCCTGGTAGGAGAAAAGCGCAGGTGCCTCACGCAGCCTCTCTGCAGCTTTTAAGCCCTCGTCTGTACTTTCTTCTCTACCAGCCTTTCCTCCCCTGCGCGGCCCCAGCCGTCCGTTCGTCCGGCTGGCTGGCTGGCTGGCTGGCTGGCTGGCTGGCTGGCTGGCTGGAGCGTCCTGAGCCCTGCTTCCGCGGGGGCTTTTAGTGGTGGCAGCTCTGTTACTTCCCAGATGGCGCGTAGGGCCGAGCCCCCCGACGGGGGCTGGGGCTGGATGGTGGTGCTTTCAGCGTTCTTCCAGTCGGCGTTGGTGTTCGGGGTGCTCCGCTCCTTCGGGGTTTTCTTCGTGGAGTTTGTGGCGGCGTTTGAGGAGCAGGCAGCGCGCGTCTCCTGGATCGCCTCCATAGGAATTGCAATGCAGCAGTTTGGGAGTGAGTGCTGTGCCTGGGTTCGGTGTCCTGCGACCCTCGGAAGGAGGAGGGGATGCGGGGACAGAAAAGGGGAAGGGCGGAGATGGGGCGTGCTTGAGAAGGACACCTGAGATCCTCTCACAGAACGCTTTCCTTTTTCCCAGGCCCAGTGGGCAGTGCCCTGAGCACGAAGTTTGGGCCCAGGCCCGTGGTGATGGCTGGGGGCATCTTGGCTGCCCTGGGGATGCTGCTCGCCTCCTTTGCTACCTCCTTGACCCACTTGTACCTGAGTATTGGGCTGCTCTCCGGTGAGACCCTGGGCACAGGCAGAAAAATCAAATGCCTGAGTTTTTGGCCTCTGGACTATCACCTTTTTCCTGTTCTTTTCAAAAGGCTTAGGGAGAAGCTGAGAGAAAGTTTTGAATAGCACCTGTGCCCCAAAGGGAATTTTTAAGAGGGATGACTAAATTGATAAACATGGTGGGGCAATTAGAGATGGCAAGTCAGTCGAGAATATACAAGCCCAGGGGCTAGTATGATTGGAGTCTTAAAAGGAAGACTTATGTACTATAAAGTTGTGTCAGGTACTGTGGTTGTGAAATAGATGTCATTATCCTATTTACAGACAAAACAAGGCTGTAGAAGCTTATGCAACTTGGCAAATGAAGATCACACAGCTAGAAATGGTAGAAACCAGGTCTGACTCCAAAATTCTGTGCTAGTTACTTTACAAACATTATCTCCAAACCTCCACAGTCCCATAAAGTATATTACCCCCATTTTTTAGATGAGAAGATTGAGTCTGGGCAATTAAGTAAAATACAGTCATACAGCTAGAAAGTATCATAGCTAGGATTGTAACCCAGGCCTGTGCTACATTCTGCTATTGGGCAGTGTTGGGGTAACTGGGTACCCGGACCTCCCTAAGAATCCCCCAACACCCATTTCTTCCTTTTTAACAGGCTGTGGCTGGGCCTTGACCTTCACTCCAACCCTGGCCTGCCTGTCCCGTTACTTCTCTCGCCGGCGATCCCTGGCCATGGGACTGGCACTGACGGGCGTGGGCCTCTCTTCCTTTGCCTTTGCCCCATTCTTCCAATGGCTGCTAAGCCACTATGCCTGGCGGGGTGCCTTACTGCTGGTGTCTGCCCTCTCCTTCCACCTGGTGGCCTGTGGTGCTCTCCTCCGCCCACTCTCCCTAACTGAGGACCCTGCCATGGGAGGTCCTGGGGCCCAACTTGCCTTCCTTCTTCATCATGGCCCCTTCCTCCGTTACACTGTTGCCCTCACCCTGATCAACACTGGCTACTTCATTCCCTACGTGCACCTAGTGGCCCATCTCCAGGACCTGGGTTGGGATCCACTGCCTGCTGCCTTCCTACTCTCATTGGCTGCTATTTCTGATCTTATTGGGCGTGTGGTTTCTGGGTGGCTAGGGGATGCAGTCCCAGGGCCTGTGGCACGACTCCTGACTCTCTGGACTGCCCTGACTGGGGTGTCACTGGCCCTATTCCCTGTGGCTCAGGCTCCCACAGCCCTGGTGACTCTGGCTCTGGCCTATGGCTTCACATCAGGGGCCCTGACTCCAGTGGCCTTCTCCGTGCTGCCTGAACTGGTGGGGACTGGAAGGATATACTGTGGCCTGGGACTGGTGCAGATGGTAGAGAGCATCGGGGGGCTGCTGGGGGCTCCTCTGTCAGGTAAGGAGAACAGGGTTTCCAGGTGGGCCAGAACTGCTGTATCATACCATTTGGGGAGGGGACTATTCACATTAGAGTGGATGTAAATATTGCTGTCTGATATGGTATACTACACGGCCTGTATAGCCAATCATAGCAGCACTGAAGTAGGTCCATAGGGCAAAGAAATTGGGGCTATAGAAAGACTAAAAGGAGCTATGTGGAACCCTTGGCAGGGTATCTGCAGCTTGGGTTTTCAGAGGATCTAGCTGGACCTGGACAGACATAACATGTCACTGTCTGCCCTTTCCTTTGGCCCATTGGGCCCCAACCCAGATGTCTGAGTCATCTGACCAAAGTTCTCCAGCCTCCAGATGCCAGAACCTTAGACCTGTAACATTTTCCTCTTAACTATTAACGGAAGGTGTAGAAGGGAGGGCCACAGTTGCCAGAAAGAAAGGCACAGGTGTGCCTGATTCAATTTGGATTCCCAAATCTCCACTGGCTGGTTTGGAGGTCCTTTTTGAAGACAAGAAGGTGATTGAAATGACCTTTTGAAGCCCCTTGGGAAGCCAGAGTTCTCAAGGTCAGTCCTACCTTGGGAATTCTAACTCTTCCAAGATGATGGGTTAAGGATTATTTTCTTCCCTCCACCCAAAAATGTGTCTGAGACATCAGTCTCAGGAAACAGATCACCTATGTGTATCCTTTTTCTCTCTTGGACATAGGCTACCTCCGGGATGTGACAGGCAACTACACAGCTTCTTTTGTGGTGGCTGGGGCCTTCCTTCTTGCAGGGAGTGGAGTTCTCATCACTCTGCCCCACTTCTGCTTCTCATCTCCTACCTCCAAGTCCCAGGATCTTGTAACAGAGGCACTGGATACCAAAATCCCCCTGCCCACGGAAGGACTGGGAGAGGATTGAACTCCAAAAAGGGGCTGTCAGACCCAGAAAGCCAGACGTTGGCAGCTCCACGTCTTCTCCCGCCCTATCCTGATGCCCCCAGAATCACAGTGCCTTAAGCATCTTGATCTATCTTCTGCCACAGCAGGCACAGGGCTCCTGCAATGTGTGTGCCAACCCTTTGTATTTTGTTGAAGACTCCTATCTCCTCTTTGCTCCCACAACCTTTTCTACAGGATCCAGGAGTTCAGCCTGCTCCATTGAGCTGTGAATCAACCGTGAAAATCAAAGGCCAAGAGACTTACTGTTTTACAAATGATCTCTGGTGTTGCCTACTAAGTTTCTTCTCTGAAGGCAGATGTTTGGGAAAGAGGGATTCCCCTTTGGGATAAAACTGAATAAGAAAACTGGATAACAACCAGAAAGAGCTGGGACCCATATGCTGGGATTGGCTGAATGGTGTCATCAATGGGGGTGAGGTGGAAGGGACATGTCCAAGAGCTCTGGTGACCCAGAGCATTTTAACCCTGGACTCTGCTCTCTGGATCACAGTTCCCCCCACTTGCCCACTGACTTCCCTCTTTCCCACTATCTCCTGTGACTTAGAAAAGAAATTAAGAGAATGGTGGGAACACAGTGTGTGTGTGTGTGTGTGTGTGTGTGTGTGTGTGTGTGTAGGGGGGTAGTTTGGGAGAGGGAGCTAAAGCCAGGAGAGCTGAAGTCTGGGTCTAGGATTCTTGTACTTACCTCTGGCCAGTAGAAGGACATTGAGATTCAAGAAAGAGTTTTGAGTACAGGAAATGAGGACGGAGCAGGTAGCACCCATGGGCCACCTTCTCCCACCCCCTCACCCCCTCCCCCGCCCAAACAAATTGAAGCTGACAGGCAGACAACTTCTCAAAGATTCCATGTTATACTGGCAACAGCTAGGGTAAAGAGAAATGGACTGGCTGAACAGATAGATACCTTTCCTCTTCTCCAAGATTTAGTGGGATCCTGTTTCTTTCAACCAGCCTTTTTTAATATCTTAAGTAGAATGTTTTCAGCGTCCTAGATTGGCTAACAATTGGAGCTTGCAGGAAAATCAGAAATTCTTTATTAGGGGATGGGCTTAAACCAAAAGAAAATGGTCAACAAGTGGTGTCCAGAGTGGAGTGAGCGTTTCCTGGGGACAGCAGGGCAACTTGAGGAATGGGGAGCAGCTCCCCCGTCTTAGGGGGAGGGGTGGCTGGACTTGAGGCTGGATGGCAGCAGGGCAGCACCCCAGGCAGCCCCATGTAGATGAAGCTGCCAGAGAGGACCAAAGAGCCGCACACAAGGAAGGAGGTGGTGAAGTCTCCTGTCTCATCTCTTAGGAAGCCTAAGAGGGAGGGGAAAGGAATTTAGAGGCCTCAGACCCCAGGGGCATAGGATGTTGGTGATGTGAAATGCTGGCTCAGACCCTTACCTGACAGCGGAGGGCCCAGAAGCCCCCCAAGGCTCATCAGCATCATCACCAGCCCAGTGGCTTGTACAACACCTTCGATGCCCACTAGTCCCGGAAGCACACCGAAAACCAGTGGGGCGAAACCACCAGCGCTCAGCCCATAGGCCCCAGCTGTGGCCAGCAGGGAGCCCCCCCAGCCCTGCTCAGTCCCCACTACCGGCACCAGCCCCACGGCCAGCAGCCCCAGCCCTGTCAGACCCCCAAACACTGCCAGCAGCCGCGTGAGGGGCACCCAGCCCTGGTCCGCCAGCCACCCACAGACCATCCGGGCACCGGCATCCGCCACTGCTGCCACTGCTACCACCAGCGCTGCTCCATACCCCCTGAGGCCCTGGTCTAAAGCGTGAGGGGCCAAGTGCACGTAAGGGACGAAGTACCCACCCCCCACCAAGGCTGTGCCCAGAGCAAAAACTAAGAAGGAGCGGCGAGTGAAGAGACCTAGGCCGAGGGCAGCTAGGGGCCCTTGGGGTGGTACTGGAGAGTCGCCAGGAAGGGCCAGGGGTCGCAGAAGGGCGCCACAGGGAGTGAGGTGGAGGGTAATGGCACCAAGGAGGAGCAGGGCCCCCCGCCAGCCGAAAGTATGCAGGAGGAGCTGCAAGGCAGGCGCTAGGAGCAGTGAGGAGGCCCCGTTGCCGGTGAGGGCCAGCCCCACAGCGAAGACTCGACGGCGGGAGAAGTACCGGGAGAGGGTCCCGACGGCAGGAGCAAACACCAGGGCCCAGCCGGAGCCTGCGAATGGGGGAAGACGGGGTGAGGACCAGGGATGCCTGCCCCAATAATCCCAGCCCTGCTTCTCGGAGGGGGCCCCTGTCCGGTTGGCCTCCAGCCCCCAATAAACTCCTATTCACCATTACCCGTAAGGACACGGGTATCTTCTCCCCTCACCAGCAAGGACGCCCAGACCAAGGTAGAGGTGCAGCAGACTGCCCGCAAAAGCCGAGAAGATAAAGCCAAGCGAGGTGAGGATGCCCCCAGCCATCACCACCGGGCGCGCCCCCCAGCGGGTGCTCAGTGCGCTGCCCACTGGGCCTAGAAGGAGGCGGAGTAAACAGAAGACACGCCCCTGAGCCCCAAAACTCGATTCCACACTTCAGTGTTTGAGAAGTGTTTTAGGCCCAGGCAACAACTGTTGCCTGGGCCTAAAACTCCTCCCACAGCCTAATAGCTCCTCCCTTTAACCTTATGACCCACTTTTCTAAAACTTGGTTCCACCCGGCTCCCTTTCTCAGGTTATCTGGTAATCAGGTGAGTCCCTGAGTGTAGACTCAACGGATCCTCCACCCCGTTCCCGCCCCCCACCTCGGGGCTTTCCCTCACTGGCTGCCTGCTGCACGGCTAGGGCCAGGGCGCTGACCCACGCAGTGTCCTGAGCAGTTCGATCAAAGTGGTCCGCGAGGTCAGGGAGGGCAAGGCCCAGGGAACGTAACAACCCATAGGAGAGCGCATTCACCACGAAGGTTGCGGCCGCCACCACCCAGCCCCAGCCCCCGTCTGGGGGTCCGGCCGGCTTGGCGTTCATCATCACCGTCTGGAGGAGGAGGGAACATCTGTGAGTGAAGTTTCCAAGTCTGTGCCTCTTCTAGCATCTCTGAGACCCAGCTTCTGGCTGCTTGCCCCGGGGAGGGCAAGTCACCCTGAGCACGCTATAGGGCTGGGGCGGAGGGAGCAGGAGCTGGGCCTGGGGATAGAATTCCTGGGTCCGCGCGAGGTTGCTGGGACTGAGTGACAGCCGACAGTCCCCTGGCCTGGGACTCCCGCCCTCCTCCCCACACCCCCACTCCTTACCCCTTACCCGACCTCTCCGGGCGGTGTGGGGAGGGAAAGGACGAGGAATGGCTCTGCCTGGTTTCTCCCTGTTTCCTGGGCGGGCAGGGCCGCAGAGAGGGTGTGTGCAGAGAAGGAGCCCTCTCGGTAAACAGATCACCGCGGGGGGTCTGAGCCACCTGGGATGCGGTGGTACGGAGGGCGGAGGCAAACTGAGACAGCCAATCCGCGGAGCCCAGGATGCCGCCAGCCACTGAGTCCCACGGGGATTAAATCAATCTGTCGCGAAAAGCGAGCGAGGAATGAATGCCACCCCGCCCACAGCCACGCATCTGCCTCCAGCTGCGCTCGGAGAAGACACGTGGATTGCAATCCCCAGCAACCCCAAGGTTGATAGGCAACGCACTGAAACTGGGGTGGTACCCCAAGGCCTGAGGGGATGAGTAGTTTTGTTCTCAGAAGACGTTGCTAGAAGACCAGGTAAATTTTGGATATCACACCGCAGACCTCCACTGAGTGCTTATTGCATGCTCAACAATAATATGCCTTCAAGGATTCAGGGAAAGGAAGAAGACTCCCTTATTATGTATAAGGGGCAGTGATGTGCCAGGCGCTTTTTACACATGTCGGCTCTTTATCCTCACAATAACCCTGTGACGATTTTTACCTCATTTTACAGATGAAGTAACGGAAGCTTCCAGAGGTTAGGTGACTTGCTCAAAATCATCCATCTAAAAAATGGGGGAAACAGTTGAATTTGGGTCTGCCCAGCTGTGGGACGATACAAGAAGAACAGACCTAGGACTGAAATAGAATCTACCACAGTGAAGGAAGATGGCCTGGAGACAGTTTGATTCCAAATTGGCCTGGAAATGGCAGAGCCTTTTCAGAGCCAAAGAGTTTATAATTCTAAGATCGGGGTTACAGGGAATAGAAAGGATCCTTGCGATCAGAATCACTAAAGATTTAGCGATTAGAATTTTAAAAACAAAGTAATAAATCCAAGAATTGAACCCAAGTGTTTATTTCTTGAAAAACTTTATAAAAATTATCCTTTTTACATTAGGATTAAAGTTACCATTGCTTTACTTCAGCTATTTGAATCAAGAGATGCATTCTTTAGTTTAATTATGAAAGAATCTCGTAGAAAATTCAGCCATTTACAGTTTGGAGCACATATTACCCAAAAGCCACATGATGGCAGTACTCCCCAATTGTTGAGAAGTATCTGTAACTAAAGAAAAAAACAGCTTAAGTAGTGAAACTGTAAACCTAACAAACACAGCCTGACCTTGATGGCTCTCTACTACTGCCAATGGTGGGGGTGGGGGTGGGGGGNGGGGGCAGGGAATCAGTTTTCTCTATGAGGTCTGACAATTAAGTTCATGAACTTGTTGCAACAATGTTGCTAATCTTTTTTGATATCAGAGGGATTATTCATTATGAATTTGTACCAACTGGACAAACACTTAACCAAGTTTACTACTTGGAAGTGCTGAAAAGGCTGCAAGAAAAAGTTAGATGAAAACGACCTGAACTTTTCACCAACAATTCATTTCACGGTTTTTGCATCACGACAATGCACCAGCTCACACGGCACTGTCTGTGAGGGAGTTTTTAGCCAGTAAATAAATAACTGTATTGGAACACCCTCCCCACTCACCTGATCTGGCTCTCAATGACTTCTTTCTTTACCTGAAGATAAAGGAAATATTGAAAGGAAGACATTTTGATGACATCCAGGACATCAAGGGTAACATGATGATAGCTCTGATGGCTATTCCAGAAAAAGAGTTCCAAAATTGGTTTGAAGAGTGGATTAGGCGCTCGCTTCTGTGCATAGCTTCCCAAGGGGAGTACTTCGAAGGTGACTATAGTGATATTCAGCAATGAGGTATGTAGCACTTTTTCTAGGATGAGTTCATGAACTTAATTGTCAGACCTTATTATTTGGGTATAAGGTCTTTCACAACCAAAAGTAGACCTAAAATACATTTTCATTCTATTTCCCTTGCCTCTCTCATACACCCTTCCACCAGCCATAGCATCTTACCTGCTCCATGGACATACCTGTCTTTTCCTCACTCCTGAATTCTTGCATATGTCATGCCCTCTGCTTGAAATGTTCTGGGTAGGTCACAGGAGTCTATGAAGGCTTAAGATCCTGCCACGTACACCCTAAGAAAGTGGTCTCACTGGTTTCTCTAGCCTGGGTTGCTGTTGTGAAAGGCATCTGGGAGGTGGAGCTAGCAGATGCTCAGCCACCCAGGAGGGCAGGGAGCGCACTCCTGAGATAGGTGGTGAGGACTGTCCCAAGCTGAACAAAGCCAACTGAAACAAGTCACCCCCTCTCTGTGGTGAAGTAGAAATGCACGGCAGTCAAAAAGGAGACTGGGCCCTCTAGGTCTGGGAGTTATATAGTCATGCTGAGCACCTTTAAAAGATACTTATGAACTCAGAGGATGTCCCAGAGCCTGGGACTGGGGTGATTGGTTATGAAAGAGCACATTCCTCTTCTACCTCAAGTTCCCTATATTCTTAGCCAAAATTACCATCACTATATGTCTTGCTCATGGAGTTAGTATTACGTTGAAGTTAGAAGAATGGATTCCCAAGCTAGACTTCCTAGGTTTGAATCTGATCTCTACCACTTATTGTATTATTGTGAGCAAGTTTTTCAATCCCTCTGTGACTCAGTTTCCTAATCTCTAAAATGGGGATAATAATAGTAGCTACCTGATAGGGTTTTTTTTATAAGGATTAAATGAGTCACTGTGTACACATGTATGAGTAAGGAACCTAAAACAGTGCCTGGAACATGACATGTGTCAGCCCCTTTTGTTGCTATGTTGTGACTTGGAGGAACTGGACTGTACCTTTCAGCACCACTGTGCTTTCACTACTTGTCTACGTCTACTAATGTCTCAAGGTCAAAGATCCATGTCGGTCTGCTGAGCTCTCAGTAGAACTACATGGGTTGTAAGATGTGAGGGCCACAAAAAGGTTAAATGGTTTGGTTTTTTTCATGTGATAAGTGGTTTTCTTAGCATTTTCCAAAGTTTATAAGAAAAATTCTGATCTATCTTGACTCCAAAAACAAAAGAGAAGGAATCAAATTAAGTTTTGTTCATTCACTCCTTCATATAAAATATAGACATCTACTATGCCAGATGCTATGCTTAGGGCTAGGGATACAAATATAAATGATACAGTCTCTCCCCTCCAAGCTCCCACAATCAGATTAGAGAAAAAGTGAAATAAAGAAATCTCAACACAAGGAGAGGGACACGCACCATAGAGTAGGGCATGGGAGGAACTGACTTATTCTGCTCGGGCTCTCTGGGAAGGCTTCACAGAAGAAGACCCCTTTGATCTGGGTCTTGAAGGATGAGTAGGAGTTTGCCAGATGGATGTGTGGGCAAGGGCATTCCAGGCAAAGGGAGCAGATTGTGGAAAAATCACAAAGGCATAAGCCAGCTTGGCACATTGTTTATTGTTTGAGGAGCTGTAAATAGCTGCTGTGTGGAGAACAGTGATGTAAAGGAGAACAATGTAGGGCGAAGCTGCTAGGGCAGAAGGTCCCATCATGAAAGGTCTTAAAGGCCAGGCTAAGGAATTTAGATGTTTTCCCAAAGACTGATTCCCATGGATGTAGCATTCACTAATACTTACTAATACTGGAAGCTGAACACAGAGGAAAGAGGACTCATACCACAGTAAAGGGGTCAGGAGAGTCTGGGGTTATAGACCTTTCATGTGTGGGAAAATTTTCTGAAATATCTTGTTTTACATTGAAAATTCGTGTGGAATTTTACATCTTACTTTATAATCTTTGGTGCATGTTTTCATAGGAAAATGCTTTATATGACTAGATATATTATTTAAGTTTTTCTCCCCAAGTCTTCTCCACTGATGGTGCAGCAGAGTTTCCTCTGGGAAATCCTCCAAACAACTCCTAATCTGCATTAGATACCTCCCCCTTTGCCTAATTAACCCTCGTGAGAGTACTTCTCAGACTGCGGTGATAGCATCCATTTTTGTCTTCTTCCCCCTATCCCCACATTGCCCTGGAGGTAGAACCTTGCATTATTGATTTCTGGATCTTTGACACCCAAAGGTGCCAAATGTGAATGATGAAACATTGAACAAGGGACTCAACAGGTTGTGGTACTATCACATGAAGCGGTTGTTGATCAACCAAACTGATAATGCTTGTCCACGTGGAAAAAGCCCCAGAAGTAGATACTGAGCCAGGTCGGGTCTTTAGGGAGATCAAAAGAGAGGGTCAAGGTCTGTACATAATTTGCTTTGGGGACCACAGGATCTGGGAGTGTGTCTGTGTTTGTGAACTCTGAAACTGCTCTGGAGTTTTCTGATGGGAGTCCCTGTGAGAGGTTTTGGGGGCCTCAAGGGTCTGCAACCTTGGGGAAGCCCTGAACTGAGGCTAGCTATTCCTTGGTACACCCACTGGGGCTCCCTCTACAGAAGGTGGATGCGAGGGAAGGGGACAGGCAAGGACAGATGGTATTACCCATAGGAAACATGGCTCTATTTGAGGTACACAAAAATATGAGACTTTCTGGTGTTTGGCCCAGCTGATCTTGGCCTTCTAAGCTCCTAATAGAGCTGCCTCTCACCCCTCACCCGCAGAATCTGCTCCTTCCCCAGCTCACGGAGAGATCAGGCCATAGGAAGTCAGCATACACCTCAAAGCCCAGACCCAAGGTCTGGAAAAGTGGAAGAAGAACATGACCCAGGAAAGGGAGGAGATCACAAGGTCAGGGTTTGTGGTTCAGGGCCAGGGAAGCACATCTGTTGAGATGCTCTGAAATGGGAGTGGGTAATGAAGCAGGAGGGTAAATGCACTCACTCAGGCAGTGGGGCTCATTATATGCAGAGAACAAGTCTATTTGGATGGAGACAAGTCTACACATGAATGGAGAACTGAGATGAGTCTCCTGAACTTTGTGTTGGGAGTGGGACTGGGGAAGGAGTCTGCTGAGTCTAGGGCTGGGTGAGGCCATGGTCAGGTAGAAGTTGGCACTGATGAAGACAGAGCTGAGGCCGGAGCTAGGTTTCAGCCAAGACCTGGAATGGGTAGGGATGGGTTGGGAGTCCTACCCCACATTACTTCTCTCTTATCCCCTCTGTCAAGTCCATCTCCAGTGCATCTTCCAAATCTGGCCCCCATCCCTTTTTTCCTGTACCACCTGCCACCTCCCTAGCCCCTTTAAGTGCTGAAGGTCTGGAGCCTCTGGCTCCTGGATCTCTCTGGAATACCCAGTCTTCAGGACACAGCATCAGGATGGTGCGGGAAGCACCCAGCTAACGTGTTTGAGCCTGGCCTGTGTGTCTAAATCTCCAAATGTGTCTTATCTGGCATTTCCTGGTTCTGGGACTTGGGCCAAAATTGGTGTCAAAGTTCTTAGTTGTAAACTATGGGCACTCGCTTCAAGTTATTTAAGGAGAGAAGTGATTGATTATAGGATATACTGGGTAGCTCTCAGAATTATCAAGGCTAAAGAACTAGGTTTGGCAGGAACACAGACTGCCACAGGGTTAAATGGGTTGCCAAGGCCGCTGCTGTTACCATTGGACACTAGATGTCACTGCTGTCCCTCTGCGCCCACAGAGCCTAGAAACTGCTGCTGCAGCTCAGAAATGTTCTCTGTTTTATTCACCACTAGTTCT